ATTTGGCGCCATGAACTTTGACCGTCTTGCATATTGCAAAATGTGGCTGCCCATGTGTTTGTTGCATACTGCAATTTACTTTATATGCAATAAAACATGCAAAAAAATAAATGTCTGACAACTAAACAATACTATATTAAATAACAAATATTGAGATACTTGACATAATTTATATTTCCCTGCCCTATGTTGAACAAAAAAAAGGGAAGTGAACCAACTGATATGAGGAGACAAACCTCAGCACCCCGAAAGCCCCAACGTTTCTGGGCTGGGGGCAAGCACTGGAGGACAGTTTAATTTCCGGTGGTGTACACAGACAGACGTACCTTTACACCAAACCCCAACTCTGCCTGCCTCCAACACCCTGCTGCACAGAAACCCCCACCAGCAGCCGCAGCAGCAGAGGCCTGCGGGCAGCAGCTCACCACATAGCTGCTAACTGCTCATACTGCCTCAGCTCAGCAAAAACTCCACTTTAGCAAACAGGATGCCGCAGCTTGGGAAGGAGAAAATTCCAGATTTGGTTTACAGAACTGTTCTTAACAAACACTTAGTATAACTTAGTATAGTTAGTGTTCACTAAAAAATATGATCTTTCACACTGGGTATTACATAAATGTGATTATGGGTTCGAAGACTTTGCAGGTCACGATTGCAGGGGGGGTAAAAAAAAAAGACTCATGGTGCATCCTTTCGAAGGTAAAAAAAACAGCTACTGTTATTTAAAACCAAAAATGCCAGAGTACCTGCTGTATTTGCTGCTTACGGGGATAAACTTACCAAGAGTAAAATTCAAACTACTCTTTCTCCCGTCCTGATATTTAAAAAGTTCAAAAAGGGACACAAAACAAAACAAATATTTGCAACATGTAGTCAACACTCACCTGATGTTGAGCTTTATGGGGTTTCGCCTCCATTCTCTGCTGCGGTCTTGGGCTGGCTTTTAGATCTCGACCTGGACCCTCTGGAGGGGGTGCGGCTTCTGGACTTGGACTTGGACTTCGATTTGGACTTGGACTTCGATTTGGACTTGGACTTAGACTTGGATCGGGACCTGGATCTAGAACGAGAGGGGGCCTTGACCTTCTTGTTCCTGGGAGAGTGAGACTTTGATCGGGAGTAGGAGCGGGACCTGGATCTGCTGTAGCGGGATCGGCTTCGGGAGCGAGAGCGGCTCCTGCTGCGGGACCGGCTGCGTCTCTTGTCTCTTGGGCTGGGAGAGGAGCTGGAGACATTCAGTGTGTTAAGTTAGGGTCCAAAATGTGGAAACAGTTGGAAATGAAACACGTTTTTTGGGTCTCAGACATGAAGACTTCTTGGTTTTCTCTGTTTTACATCATATCAAGTGGAATTTCTTATAAATGTAAATAGTTTCAGTTGTGGCCAGTTGGGTAAAAAAATTAAAATACGTTGGAAAAGTTTTGCTGTATCTGGATTATGCAGTTTCGCTAAAATACTTCAATTGCGTTCTCTGGGAAAAGTATTGTTCAAAAGAGCACGGCCCTCATGAATATGGAAATTATTCAATGGAGTCTGGCAACAGTTATCCAAAAAGGCACGTGTTCCTACCCTGTATTTACTGAAATAGTAGTTATAATGAAAAGTTATGGATAAATAAGGTGTACTGGTAAAATCGACATTGAAATGATACAGAAATCAAATGCATTGAAAGGGACAATATTAAAATGTAAAGAAGTGGCACACTATTCACAGACTTCGAAAGTCACGGATTAGGTTTTTTTTAAATATATATTTTTCGTATTTAATCTGTGCTGAATTGTCGAGTGGATATTGCTGGTTCGGAAAAATACTTTACTTGTGTTCGATGAGGACAATAATGGTAAGTAAAATGGGATCCCTCTGAATCGGCAGTTTCTTGAATGGAGTCTGGCTACTGTGTGTATAGAGCTGTTTGCGCGCCTATTCTTACCTTCTGCTTCGTCGTCCACCGTATCGCCTGGTTGGACCACCTCCTCCTCGTCGGCTGCCTCCTCCACCACCACCGCCGCCGCCACCACCGCCTCCGTCGCGATCGCGATCGCGATCTCGGTCGCGGCCACCACCACCACCACCCCCGCCGCCTCCTCCTCCTCCACCTCCTCCTCCACTACCACCATAATGAGAGTCGGGTGGTCTTCCGTACCGGGCCATCTGGACTCGCAGCTCCCGTCCATCAAGGAGCGCGCCGTCCATGGCGTCCATTGCGTCTTCGGCGTCACGTTTGTCGTGGAAACGCACAAATGCGAAACCGCGGCTTTCTTTCGTGTATCGGTCTCGGGGGATGTAGACGTCCCCTACGCGGCCGTACTTCTCGAACACCCGTCGGAGGGTTTCTGGAGATGTTCGGTACGTTAAGTTGTCCACTTTTAGGGAAGTCATGCCGTCGACGTCTGGCGGAGGCCTACCGTAACTCATGGCGATTAGCCTTTGAGGCCTAGCAGCCTTCCTCAAAACACTTGAATTCTCGGCTACGAAAGAGCCTACCTGTTTGTTAAAGTCCGCACACACTCACACTGGGTGTTCTTTTAAATGGATTCGCCTCACCTGTTGAGTATTTGAGGCTGAACAACCACTAAATAGGCGACTGCTTCCCGCACAACTCCGTCTGCCTCGCGTTCAACAACTGCCCCGAACCAGTGCGTGAAGTGAACTTCTTCTTCTACTCTCAAATTGTGGAACGCCTCAGTATCACATTTAACCCACCAGCGCCCCCTGTGGAATCACGTTTTATCTGTGTTCAATATTAAAACGACACATTTTGTAATTACAACAAGTCTTAAATTAATTTAGTACAGTATACAAAATAAATAATGTATAAGTTCCATGATATAGTTTGTAGCATAGAATTAAGGATAACATAAAACATACACGTTTTTTACAGTCAAGTTTCAAATGAATATGAGTAAAATGTTTGTATTTTTATTGAATACCATTCTGGAAATATAACAAGTCAGACAGACGAATTGATGATATAAAATTGACAGACAGAAAACCCAAACTTAACTTTACTTAAACAGTTACAATATTGAAAAGGTTAAATAAATCAATTAATTTTCATCATTTTTTGACAGCAGGTTTTACATTTGATAGTATGTGAAAATATATACTAAGATTCTTTTGTTGAATATAAGGTGAAATATAATTTGTTTCAATTCAAAAGCATGTAACAGGTGTTCATTAAAAGAAGTACAATATTGACACAATAAGCAAATAAATGAAGAAAAAAAGGTTATTTAGTTCCATGACAAATGTATGTGTGAATAGAGATAATAAATAAGGATATCCAAAAAAACATTTATACAAACCCTTGCTTAACATTACTTAGGTACAGGTATAATATTAAGGACTTATTTAAAAAGGAGAAATAATAGGTTTTCGTAATATAAAGTGTTTAAAAAAACAGCTCTGGAGACCACTTCAACAGACACAGGAATGGATTGGATGCCATACATGTAGAGATTGAGATTTATAACACATTTGGAGTGCTCTCTTAAAGGTGGGGTAGGTAAATTTGAGAAACCGGCTCGAGATACACTTTTTGTTATATGCCATGGAATGCTCTTAACATCCCGATAGCAATGAATATCTTAAAGGTAGGGTAGGTAAGTTTGAGAAACCGGCTCGATATCGCTAGAATTTGAAAATACACAACCGGAGAAAATCTGCCACTTCCTTATAGAGCCCCTCCTCCAACACACACGAACGCGCACATGACCAATGAGGGCACGAGATAAGTTTGTGCACAGATGGAAGGCTGACAGGCAGGTAGGCCATCCAGTTATTTTAGCCGGGCCGGCTAAAATGATTCGTCGTGCTTTTTACAGTATTACGGCTTCCACAGATGACATTTTTGTATGGATTTTTTGTCAAAGCACTTAAGATATTCATTGCTATCGGGATGTTAAGAGCATTCCATGGAATATAACAAAAAGTGTATCTCGAGCCGGTTTCTCAAACTTACCTACCCTACCTTTAAGTGCTTTGACAAAAAATCCATAAAAAAATTTCATCTGTGGAAGCCGTAGTACTGTAAAAAGCACGACCAATCATTTTAGCCGGCCCGGCTAAAATAACTGGATGGCCTACCTGCCTGTCAGCTTTCCATCTGTGCACAAACTTATCTCGTGCCCTCATTGGTCATGTGCGCGTTCGTGTGTGTTGGAGGAGGGGCTCTGTAAGGAAGTGGCCTATTTTCCGGTTGTGTATTTTCAAATTCTAGCGCACTCGAGCTGGTTTCTCCAAAATTACCTGCCCCACCTTTAATTTAATTTGTTTTTAAATGTAACGATTTTGTTTAACGTACGCACACTGAATAAACCCCATATAATAACTGAAAGACCAGTCTTCTATGTAATATATATAATTACAATGAGTCCAGTTTGTTATAATATTTACGAATATATGCATCATCTTTGATTTTGTAAGGAAACACATATGTTGGGAGCATTAAAAAGTATACCACCTTTACCATCCAGAGCCTGATCTGTCTGTTTAATACTATATAGGAGTTATTCTCCTTAAAAAAGGACTTTCTGAAGAAGGTGTTGTTGGAAATGTTGTCAATAATGTTGTTATTGTCTAATTAAAAAAAAAAAACAGATGTGAAATTACAGCCCAGTCAGATGTTTTAAAGATTCCTTGTATTGTAACAGCTTGTATAGATCAGGTATAGATACATTTTGACTTTTTTATCCTGATTTATTTTCAACCTGAGATTGGTCCTTATTTCAAGTTCTAAACAAATTAATCTATAGGTGATACACATCCTTCAAAAAGAAAACAAATTATGATGTGTTATTTATGATAAACCATTTGCACTTACACTGAGTTGCAATGTGGTGTTTCAAAAATTATACTCATACTTTGTGATGTATAATTATATTATGGCACTTTACATTACATGTCACTTGTTAGATGCTTTTATCCAAAGCGACTTACATACTCAAACTGTGGGCAATCCCCACAGGAGCAATTAGGGGTGAAGTGTCTTGCCCAGGGACACGACGTCATGCTGACTGCAGTGGGTTTACATCTTTTTGTTTGTATGTTCTTCTTTTCTTTGTTTATTTTTGTACTTATACTTTTTAATATTCGTTAACTTTTGGTTGTTAAACACCAAAACCCAAGCCGTTGGACTCTTACACCAATGACTTGACGGGACTTGATGTCCAATTAATTTCCTATAAAAACAAAGGTAATTTTGTTCATGTGCAATAACTACTGGGTGGTCTACAAAAAACTAATTGTAGTATGCAAAGAAGGCAGGTCAAACATGGCAGAGGGCACATTAAATGTAGGACCTTGGACCTAAATCTTTCAAAACAAGACAACTCTGGTGTCTTTCAATGGGCAGCAGGCTCTAAAGGAACGCGGTGGTACATTTCTTATTAAAAGCTACAGAAAGCATTCAAGTAACAATGTGTTTCCCAATTACAATACCTATGACAGCGATCGCTCCAACTGCACATAGAGACAGAGTGATGATTCTTTTGAAGGGGTTAGCTTCTCCTTGTGCTTCACCATTTCTCTGCACCATGAGGTTGATCTTCTGCAGCAGCTCTTTAACTTGGGAGGGATCATCTTTTTCTCTGTTGTCTAAAACATGGTACTGCCCATGACATTCTCTAATGAAGTCACGCAGGGCCGAATCTTCTCCGATTAACTCTTCAACGGACCGTCCATCAGCCCTCAGATCATCTCCTCTGGTGAACAGGGCCATGGTGTAGTATGCCGCCTCTGTACCGAAGGCCTTCTGGATTATTTTTACCATTTGCCTTTCATCCTCAGTGAATGTGCCGAGCTGCAACACGACCAGGTACACAGTGGGTGTGCCGGGTTCAAGACACGCCTGGATCTCCTTCATCTCTTTGTCACGGTTGCCTCTCCTCAGACCAGGAGTGTCAACAACAGCCAGTTCCTGATCATTAAACCGCCCTTTCTCCATCTGGCACTTCTGTGTCACAGAGGTGGAAGAGATCCGCGACTCGAAAGACTGTTCATTCCTGAGGATGGTGTTTCCTGTTGCACTCTTACCAACTTTCTTCTTCCCAACCAACACCATCTGCAGCTTTCTGGCCTGCTGGTTATCTAGGGAACAACAACAAGGCCGTCATTGGTGTTAAACGTTTAAGCATGACAATGAGACACAATTCTGCAACACAAGTTTGACGACATTCTTGTAGAACTAACCTTTCTTCTGCTACCACACCTTAGCAGGTAGCAGAAGAAAAGTTAGTTCTACTTTCTATCAGCCTTGTGAATGTCTTTGTGTGTCATCATGGAAAAATGTGTTGCTGGAAACATACTGTAACAGGAACTACCACAGAAAAACTAGTTTGTTTCAGTAAATTCTTGTGATCACAACTTTGAAAGATGCTGCCACGTTATGTTACAGGTGCAGTTGAGATCAAAACGAAGTTGAGTTTGAAGATTCGCATGGTAGAAGTAAGATTTCTGGAAGTAGGGAGTACAAAGCGTAGGAAACACCAATCCCCCATTCTTCTCGCAACTAGCCCAATTTGGCGTTGCGGCTGGTGTTATCCAAAGTGGTCTCCAAAGTTATTTTTTAAAAGCTCAAATAGGGCAAAAGCTTCAAGCAGGGAGGAGTGAGACAAATACGTCTACTTAATTTTTCTCAAAAGCAGACCGACTCTTTCCGCATGAACGATTCATTTGAGCCTTTACATGTATATGCTTTGAACCTTTCGAGTTTTGATCTGTTTTGAACATTATGGCATAACTTTTCAGGATTTTTTCCACCACTAAGTGCTTCCCCTCCCCATTAATCTTCTCCTAGAATCTGGTTGGAATGGATTTTCAAAAAAGGAGTTTGCGTCAAACCACATAATTTAATTGGAATTGTTCATTCACAATTATTATAGTGTAGCTCAGTACTGATTATTATTGTTTTTAGTCAAATTATATTACTGTTATAACAATTATTATTACTAGTTCTAGTGTTAGAGGGAGGAAACGGTTGCCTATCATTTTAACAGCTGAGTTTATCACCACTTTTGTTAATGTTATCTATTAAACGTAAACATCTTGAGGGGAAATTGTGTGCACATGCAATAAAAAAGATCTAAAAAATAAATAACAGAATCTAAAGATTGTATTTTATTTGTTTGTTTTTATCTCCCATCCTCCTTTTCTTCTACTTCACACAAAACCACCACCTCCCTTTCCTGAACATCATCACCAACACCCTGTGCAACACCACCGCACACCGAGTCGGACACAGCAGCAGCACCGCGCTGTATACCGCCAAATATGTACATAAATGTGAAAATACGTGTCTTAAAAATAGACAGCTAATAATAATCATGTTTATTGTTTGGAGAGTCGGTTATTACATCAATAATAAATGCTACTCCTAAAAGTAACCTGCTTATGTAAGTAGGAGTACTTTTTATTAAATATTAAATATACTTACCATGGTGAATACTTCTGCCAGACATGTTGGTGTTGTAAAGTAATCTGAAGTTCTCCTCACTGTTTATGTTGGGATATTGACTAGGCTAGTTTCATTTTCTCCTCCCTAATCAGCTCAATCACAAATAACAGCCAATCTGGTGCCAGTATTAAATGGTTGTTGGGTAGAAAACATGAAAGAAGTTGAAGGGGTTATCCCTGTTGAAAGAATCATAGGTGACTTAAGTAAAAGTACATTTTCAGCAACATGTTTAAGTAAATTGTTATTACTGGTACAAAAACATGTTAAAGAGATATTCATGTGCTTCTGGTTGTGTGGTTTATTTGTATTATAATAAATCAACATATGCTAAATGCTGACCATAGTTACACGCTGTATTGGTCCTCATAGTAATACATATTATATATCTGATCAAATAAAGCCTTCAAATAATTTAAGAATGGCCATAAGTATGAACACAACTGTAAATGTAAAAAAAAAAAAAATGGTAAATGGCTAGTTAGGTACTGTGACCAAGTTATGTATTTTACCATGCATTTGGTAATAAACCCTCTAAATATTTCCCCCTCTTGTTTACATAGAGCGATAGAATACATATTTTTTTACTCTCTACAATATGATTTAGGGTCCGGGACTTCTCTGCTTTTGGTAATCATGCGTCCTAATACACTGCAGTGCGTGACAAGTATGGTCAACACCAAAAGGAGAGGACAACTGAAAAAGCCCACACAACAAAAAAACAGGACATGTGTATCAACTGCAGACATTTTATTGAACCAAATATGGATTTTGCAAAACAGACTTTCTCTCCAACTCCCTCAGCACAGTGCGACCTGGCCATGGCTTAGACTTTTTCTCAGGTTTATAAATTATTGCATTGTAGGAAATTAAAGAATCACATGTTCAAAACCGTAAGTAGCCGACTCGTTTACAGTCCACACCGGAAAGCTGGTCATCTGCCAGAGTAGGAAACTCACTTCATTTACCAGTAAGTCCAAAATGAATCTCAAATGTTACGAACTAAAAAGCATACTTCAAGTGAAATAAGCAACAGCCATATATTACCAGTATTTGATTTAATTCCCTACTCTGGAGGGCTCTGATCACATAACTGATGCAGACTCTCGTTGATCAGAGTAATAACACCACTGAACCCCTGATTTAGCTTTAATACTTGGATTGGCAGCAAAAAAAAAAAAACGGAATTAGAAAAAAATCTGACATTTAAAATAAAAATAAAAAAACATTTCTGGGAGGTGGTGAAGATGTCAATACTTTACAATGCGCTGGGCATGGAAACGGTGCAATTAGGATATTGAAGACTAAAAAGAGTGAAGTCACTAAGTTGCCAAACTCCTGCAGCAAACACCTTAACAGAAATGCCCTCCTCCAACCTGCAGCTCTTCCGAGTAAAGCCCCTGCAGCAGTGAATAGTCAAAAGTCTACGACCTTCCTGTACAAACCCAGGCCCCATTCCCAATGACACCACTCCAACATGTGGAGACTCAACGTTTTATTGAAACACCTTGTAGTACAAAACAAAAAAGTTACATGAAACGGTGCCTCCATGTTGTGGCACAAGACCTAAAAAGGGGAAATTAAAAAAGGAAATGAACAAAAACAGGGGGGAAAGGAAGGAGGAAGTGTGTGGGAGGGTCATCACCACTCATCCCTGATGTTGTGTGGAGCTGCAGTGGTGTGTCTTTGTGAGCGCGAGTCTGCCCCCTGGTGGCGTAAGGGGGCGTTGGTGTTACAGAATCCCATGTTTGTCAGAGGTAATTCACGTGTTAGCTAATAGGAGCTGGTGGGGTTGCAGAGAGGAGAGAGGGGGAAGGAAGAGCAACAGCAGCACATAAGAGGAGGAGGGGGTTTAATGGCCTTCTAGAAGAGAAGGGGAGAGGGCTGCTAGCAGCTCCTAAAAGCCGTGGACTTTGAGCTGCTCCTCCTTGGCCAGGTCAATCTGCAAAGAAATAAGAGATCAAAAAAAGAAAACGCCCTTTGACACTCAGTATGTACCTTAACACTCATAATAAACAATTATGCATAGCATAATAACAAGGCTTACCTCAATAAGGAACTGGCAGATATTTTTGCGCTGGTCTCCCTGAAGCTGGATCACTTCACCATACTCTGGGTGCTCAATCACTGTCCCATTGCACGCAAATTTCTGTTAAGGTAAAAATGTGGTTAAATGGACTGAAAAAAACATTTTGAAGCGTTTGGTAGAACAAGACAGTTCTTACTATCACAACACTGATTATTTCTTTAGATTGAAGGTAAGAAGATTACTGAAAAGGGGCAGATTAATGGAAAGCATTATATTTCTTATTATGTTTCTCCATACCTTCTTGAAGGCCTTGACTAGCTTCTTCTTATCATAGCGGGAGCCAATGCCCTGGACAGTAGTGAGAGTCTTCCTGCCGTTCCGCTGTTGGATTCTTATGTGGATATAGTCCTCTGTCCCGGCTGGGAGGCGGTCATCACCCTTAGTTGCATCAGCAAAGGGGTCTGGTGAGGTAAACAATGACATAAGACGTTAAGAAAAATAGACTAAGCTCAAGAAAAATCTCATGTAATACACAGTTCATGCATCGCCACAAGAAAAGTAACAATTCAAGAAATATGTAAGGCGGATTTGTCCAAACAACATTTTCTTTGTGTTGACATCTGGCAGAGCTCTTAGGGAGGGCCTTTTTTCGGATGAAGAACTGCGCAGACGTACCGAGCTAAATATACTGCTTACTAAAGCCTGGCAGTCATAGCTAGCCAGCAGACACGATTGTGCATTAAAACCACAATCGTGACACGACAACTTTCATTTTCGGTGCGTAAATTAGAAGTCTAAGAATACATCTATAATCAAGGTAAATAAATGTATTGTTGAAAATCAGCCCACATCACAATAGTTCCATCTCAACGGTAACACACTGAAGAATAAGCTAACGTAGCAGAATGTAGGCCTAATGGCGGCAGTTTTAGCAAATGGCCGGCTAGTCGGTTACATTACCGATGAATACAGTTAAAAGTAGTAGACTTAAATATTTCTGGCTTTACTGATCCATCTCAAACCGATTTATTTGAGAAACAAGAACTGTAATAAAGTTAAATCAATTTTCAACGCAATTAAAACCTCGACGTGAGGCAGAAGCTAGCAGTTAGCTCCGCTAGCTCTCGCCCTTCCCCCATCTTAATGTCTGCCGGGTCAGTTTGATAAAAATAAATCACTTACCAAAAGTTTGGAGGTTCTGGATATCGGACATACGATAAGATTTGCTTTCCTTTCGGATAATAACTTGATAAACGAGCGGTTCGTCGGCTAACTGTGACTTATTTGTCGCTTCTAAGTGTCTCCTGTTGACGGGGACGGTGCAGGGTCTGCTTCGACGGCTCTCACAAAATGGAGTTCTTTCAGCCAGTTACACTGAAAAACAAGGCTTTATAGCCCCGCCCTGAAAACAACGTCACTACGTAGCTTACGTACGGGTGAGACGTCGACTGCAGCCACGCCCGAACGTTTCTCAACTTTACTGGAAAAGTGACGTAATCATATCGTCAGGAAAATTACCAACATCACAAATACATTGCACAAACATCAACATTTCCCCTTTTTATCATTTGTTAAACAAATGTTTTTTTCTGTCAATTTGAACCAGAAAAATGTCATTTTTAATATGGTTGCCAATATTGTATTATAATTCAGAAGGAAGGACCACCTAAACTGAGATGTTATTATCCCAAATAAATGTTTTATGTGTGATGCGGTGTCTGTTAATCCTGGAGGATAAGATTTGTTATTTCAGATTGCCATAGTGAATGAATTACAAAAATGAAATGTTAAAGAAGAAGAAAAAGAAGATTTAATTATTAATTCTGAATTATTTTTTAAACAATGCAACTAAACTAAAATAATGTATACAAACTATTTGTCCCTTCTGAGCAGGGCCGCCCCTCCCTACACGCAGATCACGCAGACTGCGTGGGGCCTCACCTGGCGGAGGGAGCCTCATCCGAAGCACAAATGCGGCGCACCTTTATGCGCATATATGCGGCGCAATTACTGTAACGGTAGGTCCACACGGCAGCGTCACGTGCTTCAACGGAGACGCTACCCATTCACTTTGAATGGGGTGACGTCACGCTTTGCCAAAACTGCATTGTGGTTCTGTCGCGTCACTTTGCCTCCGTTGCTCGCTTCGAAAGTTGAGAAAAGTTCAACTTTTCAAGGCAGAAGCGCCAGCCAATCAAATCATATGCCAGTACAAGCGCTTGCCAATCAAACTGCATGCTTGTGTGTCCGGGGAGGGAGATTAATGTGATTGGTTGTTGGTCGCACGCCAGACACGCCCACCGGTAAGCTTCAACGCGACCGTGTGGACACCGTAAGCGCGCCACAGTTTTGCCGCTGCAAGGCTCCGGCGCGTGCGCCACTAGCACCCCCCCGTCGACGCTCGCGACACAGAGGGCCTCATCACATAACTTTGCGTGGGGCCACAAGTTGGCCAGGGGCGGCCCTGCTTCTGAGGGCCAATTTGACTATATTATGTTATACAATATAAATAAACGTAAAAATAAGAACCCCAGATCATCTATATACATCAAGATGTTGGCTATAGCTAATGCATTGCAGTGGATAGAACAACATCAAATTAAAAAGGTAGGCTAGTATGTTCAGACTCGCTATCAGCCCTGATATGATTACAGTTCATATCATCCCAAAACAGACTAGACATAGCCTACTACTATGACATATATGAGTCATTATATAGACTACATCATACTGAAAAATAAATCAGATTTGGGGATTCCAGCCCATAGGGGCATTGAGGGAAATGAGATAGCTGACTCTTTAGCAAAACAAGCCCTAGAGCAGGAGAGAATTATAGAAGCTATAGTTTTAGTAAAAATCGAGCTAAAGCAATAATACGGAAACATATCATGGAGGCAAAAGCAGTGGGATGAAGGGAAAAAAGGACTACTGTTTTATAAAATAGCCTACAGGAAAAGGTGGGAGGTTTTAAAACAATAGGAAAGACAACTGAGCAACACATTATTACAAGACTGAAATTAGGGCACACAGGATTAAAACAATGCATTTAATTGGGAAACATCCACCAGGAGCATGTGAATGTGGCTTAGACGAAGAAACGGTCAAACATGTTATCTGTCACTGCCAGATATAAAACATACAGAGAAAAACTGAAGAGAAAGCTAAATAAATGTGGAGTAGTAATGTTAAACCTGTTGAGTTGCGACAAGGACAACTTTAAAGCTTTATTTTAGTTCTTCAAATGTACTGGGTCGTTTTCTTTTTGTTTTTTAATTGTGTTATTTTTCTTTATTTCTTTATTTTTCTTTTTTCTTCCTTGTAGCTCACTGAATTGTTCCCATGGTCTGTGGTCCACACTCCAGCATAGTAGGTGGCGGTGGTGCCACCCACCATTAAACCAAAAGAAGAAGAAGACCCTTCTGACTCCATGGCAACGCAGCAGCTTCCGCCGAAGCTCATCCCGTTTGTTTTCACATGTAGGCGCCGCTCTTAGTTTTACACTTTTATACAAAAGTATAACATGGTGATGTGACTTTACTTCACATATACCAGCGTTTATATTAATTACACAAGGCGTATTTATGAAAGTACAGGACCATTCAGAACGGTGAGACATTAGCACATTAGCATTCTTAGCTAATGCTTCTCCTGTAACGTTATTCTTTGTTCATTTTTATAAAACATACAATTAATGTATTTTTCTTTCTTTCACGAACATTTAAAACAACTATGTCCCATCAAAGGGACCCCCCTACTACAAATACTTGAGTCCTTTGTACGGCCACTACAGTTAACTGTAGTTACTTGTGTACTTTTACATAGATAAGTATTTTGGAGTATTTTGGCGTGACTAAAATGACTCAGGTATAAGAACAGAAGTATAATCAGCTAAATGTCCTTAACATATTGAAAGTAGAAGTACTGATTGTGCATATATAAGTATTGCATTATACATTAGATTATTATTGAGACATTACTGACCAGCATTTTAATGTTGTTACCATAGACTGTAAAAGGTTGTTACAGGTCAAGCTAATTTAAGCTGGTGGAATTGTACATTGGATTTAGCTGACGCTTTTATCCAAAGCGACTTACAATAAGTGCATTCGACCAAGAAGATACAAACTTGAACTTATGAATTGTATGAGCTCATCTCGTTTTATGATCTAATATATATCTGAAATGTAACTATAGCTGTTACACATACTGTATGTTGTAGAGAAAAGAACAATACAGTACAGAACATTGAGAAACCTGCACATGCTTTAGACTTATAGCTATACTAAACATTTCACATGAAGAAAATTAAAGAGATTTTTTAAAGCCAAAATAAATGTATCTGTTATATCTGTTATTCTTCTCCTACCAGATTCCCCAGAGATGTGAGCCTTGTGACAGTTAAAGATGTCTTCTCAGGAAGAGACGATGCCAGTAAGAATAAATGCTGATTTATTAATATACACTAATCTCTGCTCAGTGACATGTCCTTATATATTTCATTGGTCCTGTTCCTCAGGTGCTGCCTATTTGGGAGCTCTCCATCCCTCTGCCTGCCGTGCTGATGATCACTCTGAGTCTCTACATGATCATCCTGGGGATCGGGCTGTGGATCAGATACTGCCTCAAGGTTGGTGCCCTGTTACCCTTACTGCAGTTTGTAAAATGTAAAATGAATATGTGTTGTTACCTTTAACCTGCACTAAAGGTAGGCATGACTGTAGAGGAACTGTAATTAAAGTGGACTATGCTGAAGTTGTAAAGGCTTTGATGTTGGCTCCCTCTGGTGTTTGAAATGCAGCACCAGATAAGCCTTGCTCTCCTAACACAGCTATTAATTATCTGCAAATCTATCTATTCAGGCTTTCAATACTATAGGAAAGATATCTGAGGTAATTTGAGTTCTTTATCAGGTGTGATTGTAACATTTGAGAAAAAGGGTCTGGCTTAAGAGTGGTTAATTATCATTTATAACTTATTTAACAGGGACACAACAATGTTGCATCTAATCTTAAGATTCAAGATTCAAGGGTTTTATTATCATATGGAGTTAAGTAAAGAAACATCTGTCTTCGTCTTTTGTTCACCACCCTCAATAACTAAAGTTTGCGTGTAAAAGAAAACAAAAAAAACTCACCTGAACACAGTTTGTAGTCGATTAGGTAATGCACAGCTTAATAAGTGTTAAGTGTTATCTGTACGGAGTGTGGAAAGTGATGATGTTTTTTCTCTCTCTCGAAGGACCGGTGCTCTTCAAAGTGCTGTAACTGCTGTCCAGAAATGTCCATATGTGGGCAGTGTAAGAGTTTAGCAGAGATGTGTGACTGTCGCCTGCCGACCCTGCGCTCATGTCGGGCCGTTTCCTGCCCTTCTCCTTCTGTAAGTCACCGCCACACACTGCACACAGTATAACTACTGGTGTAATCATGAATTCTTCACATTCCTGCTGAGCATACTGTCATTGTATTATGTTAAATAGTTCATCTTTGCATACGGCTTTGTAAATAGGGGCCTTACTTCACGCACATTTGAGATTTTTGGCTATTTAAATACTCAGACTTAACTAGTTTCCACAGCATTAGAGGCAAACATTGGTTCATTTTAGTTCCGGTTCTGCAATAAAAATCTACGTAAATTGGATTTACCCTTTCCTGTCCTTGCTAGCCACTTATGTATGTATGTCTCTCTGACATGCAAAGACTTAAAACCAATGTGTATATATTTAAAAAGCTTTCCTTTTCTCTTTAAATTGGTATTTTTATCAACTGTTTGCAGCTGAAATAAGTCTGTGAAAACACTCCATGGTCTTTTTCTTACATTCTCTTATTGTGTTGTATGTATGCACCCTAAACACCAAAGCAACTTCCTTTTGTGTGTAAACCTACTTGGCAATACATGAACCTGTTTCTGATTCTGATTCTAAAGGGTCAAACTCTTGAGACAGACAAATCACACAAATCGGTCTTGAACAAAGTCAAGTTTCACCTGATTGGTCTGCCTGAGATGAGACTGATTGTAGTGTCAGTACGTTCTGTATGTGGCTTGTGAGAAATGGGTTCAATATTAACATTAGTGAGTCTTGACAATTGGGCAAAATAATCGGTCATAATCTGTGCACACACTTATGGAGTTTATAGATTTTGCTTCTAGTGTCCTAAATGGGCAAACTGCCCCTCACACACACACACACACACACACACACACGCTACTTTCTATTCTAGCGCCCCTAGGCAAAAAGCTTACCATATAGAGCTTTTATATTTATCTTATTGTGATCTCCTGTGTCTCGTATGTTTCCCCACAGTGTGCATGTTGGGACTGCGCCTGCACCTGTCAGCCCCCGGAGTGTGAGTCCTGCAACTGCCTCTGCTTCGAGATCAGGATCAAGTGAAGGATGCTGGTGCACTAATGCCACAGGGACATTTTCTAAAAACGGAATGCCTATTGTTAGAGTTTACAGTGGAGAGATAACAGGAACCAAGGGAGGAAAGTGACTGGGAAGGACTTGAATCAGAGGCGCTCATGGTCAGCATCTTTACCCAGGACTATTTCTCTTTTTCTTTTGCCCTTTTACATTTTTTTTTAAAAAGACTGACAATTATTTTGTTACTGAGCAGAACTCGTTTTAGCTTTCACATGTTGAAGGCTGTGTCAAAGTGTTTTATTGTCATTCTCTAAACTTGGGTACCTTTGGTATTTTTTTCAGCCTGGACCCTATTTTCTCATGTTTTTATTTCTAAGTGATATTAAACTAATTTAACAACTCCTGGTGTTTTAATCTTTTTGTGAAACAGATTAAATCAGTGTGTTGAAGTTCATTGATTTTTACATATTTTATTATTAGATCAGCCAAAAAATGACATTTCCTCTTTAGTTCCTTTATCCATTAACTATTAATTTACTATAAAAGTGCTATAACTTGATATAGTATATTGATATCCATTGACTCAGGATTACATAGCAGAATGGAGGTTTTTATGACCCTCTCTTACTGAATACTTGGAACTATTTGTATGATTTGTACATTTAAACTTCAGTATTTCAAGTGACTAAATGGGACAACCTTTGGAAAATTAAGATAGTTAGTTACCAAAAAAGACCACAAAGTGAAACAAACGTATTAAAAAGAGACACAATATGACTTACAAGAGAAAACGACTATAAATATATATATGCTAGTTTTCAAAGATGTGCATTTAAATCCATAAGGGGGACTTCCCTTTTCTGTAGTGTCTTATATAGGTTTTAGTGCAGGTCTGCAAAGTCTACAATTCCTGTGTTCCCCCCCCCTTGCCTGAAAGGCCTCCATTGGACTCCCTTTTCACTTCAACAATATAATGACATCACCATGTAACACTTGCGCTCCTATTGGCTAGCGCTCAAACATTGTACGATAGACTAAGGGGCGGGACATCTCTAAAAGGTTGACAAATCCCAACAGAGCTGGCCAGCTGAGCTAACCAATCAGAGCAGACTGGGCTCTGGTTTCAGACAGAGGGGGGAAAGAGGTGCTGCAGCACAGGCAGGATGAGACAAATAAAGAGCTTTTTGAACATTAAAGCATGGAGACATGTCACAGTAGAGACACTAAATACAAACACATGCGTCACTTCTGGGCAAAAAGTACGGCTCCGCCCACTTTTGGGGGAAAACAAGCTGTCATTTGAATGGCGGTCAATACAAATTCTGAAGTTTTTGCCAATCCGATCAGAAATTTAAGAAAACCGTGGATTTTTGGATCTTCAAAGAGCCCGATTACAATGGCCAGAGAGGCAAACAATTACATTAAATCATTGGAAATCAACGATTAGCTCGATATATGGTTAAATATAGCAGTAGGCGATCGATGTCCATAGATGAGAGTAACATCTACGTCACTTTACGGCCCCGCCCACTTTTGGGGGAAACCAACGCTGTCATTTGAATGGCGATCAAGCCTGAAGCCACAGAGCTCTTCTTTTACTGTCCTTTTTTCTTAGAGGAAGTACAAAAAATGTTTGAGGTGCAATAAACGACACAGCAGCTTTTTGGCATGATAAAACAATTATTTTCCGCCTCGCTCATGAGAGTAACAGCCGGCGAAAATTACAGCCTCGCCTACTGATTTTAATTTAACCATATATCGAGCCCAATTGTCGATTTCAAATGATTTCATGTAATTGTTTGCCTGACTGGCCATCGTAATCGGGCTCTTTGAAGATCCAAAAATCCACGGTTTTCAAACATTTCTGATCGGATTGGCAAAAAATTCAGAATTTCTATTGACCGCCATTCAAATGACAGCGTTGTTTTCCCCAAAAAGTGGGCGGGGCCGTACTTTTCGCCCGAAAGTGACGTAGGTGTTACTCTCATCTATGGGAGCATAACAGGGCCCCTTTAACCATGCTCTTTCATCAAACCCCTATTTATTTATTGATCTATCATAGGCAACGATTTATCTATCCACATTTTTTACTGACCCCAACCTGTAAATGGTGGTTTTCTCGGGTGGGCTCAGAATCTTTTTATTTTTATAATTAAGTGAAAATGTAGCGCACCAGAGAGATGGACTCACAACAACACATTTTCATTATGTATTTAATCATCTCGATATGAACCAAAATAATAAAGAGAATTATTAATATGCTTCTGGATGTTTGTAAAAAAAACACAGAAATATTTCAAAAAGGTCATTATGGCATCAAATCAAAACAAATTGTACAATTATTTCACAGTTAAAGAGCATGCAATCCACGGCAAGATTTGGCAGACTTATGATCCATGAAAAGTGCAGCTGAAGTATTTTAAGAGCAAATATTGTTTTTTATAGATGTTGACATGTTAGCTCCATGATATTATGAGGTAGACAAGGGCTCTCAGTGTTCCTTAAATCTTACATTTGTTCAATAATCCGTCCAATTGTATCAATATACACCATCTGCTTCTACGTCAGTTGGAGTTGACGTCTTTGTAAAAGATGTTAAGGCCATGTGTGTAATGTCTGGATCCATAATAAATGTCACTTTGAGGTTAAACAATTATAAAGTTCTCACAAAATATTCCTCAGTACGTAGAAGATTATATATTACAAAGATTTCACACATTTCATTATTGTATTCAGTAAAAAAATAATTATAAAAAAACGTGCATTTAGCCGTATGGTCCATAGCTTCATAAACCGTACCAGACTTTTTTTCAGTGCAGCTCAAACTATTCTTCATTTTTAGACTGGAGCAGTTCGCGTACAGGATCACAAAATGAATGTAATCATGTTTTATTTTGTGATAGAGCAGTGAAGCTGGCTTCAGGTTAATCTCCTTCAAAGTAATTAATATTTAAACGTTTATTTTTAACTTTCTTTTAGAAATGTATCTCTGTACATGCACACATTTCTTTACAAATATATAAAATGTTGCTTTCTGTAAAACCCTCAGGGTTGGGAACTCTAAGAAAAAGAAAGATCCACCAATCCTGTACCTTAGTGTACAGTTTTGCATATTCCCTGCCCAGAGTTTTTACATCTTCATTATATATTTTTTCATAAAGGTGTGGTATTTCTTCTCTATATTTACAATATGTTTCTTGACTTACTTATGCAGTTAAAAAAATATATTTTCTCTTTCCATGTCTGTTATCCACAAAAACACCAAGGCAGCTAATAATGTTTTTAATGTATAAGTAAGAGAGATGAAGTTGAAACTGATTTAAACCCCTAGGCATAAACTGTTCTCACTCTCCCTATTCTACGAAGTGGATTTAGCAAGCGTTTTTTAACCTGTATGGCCGCTCTCTTTATGCTCAACAAAACATACAAAATGCTAACTAGTATGTTAGCCCGCTAACCTTCTTCTATCTCCTGCTTTGGAGTTATTCTTCATTTTCCCAAATAACATCTTTAGATTTCTCTACAGATGTCGTCAACACTTCTAACTCCTCTAATTGTCTTAACGTGACGTCATTATTTTTGTGTTTCAATAAGAAAAACAACGGTTCAAAGGTTTAGCTCAGTGTGAAAAGTAGTGTTGGTTTCTAGAGCAGACATAAATGAAAAAAGGCGCTCAGAAAGAGACGCTGTGTGGACACAGTGTTTAACTCTTCCTTTCCTTCCTTAAAATAGGAGGTTTCTGCAACATGTACCCTGCAGTTGAATAAGGATTGTTTAAACAGAAATTAGCCTCTCTGATAGGATTTATTTTTGCATTGCTGTGCTTATTGCAGCTCCTTAAGTTGTTATTTCCCCCCGGATGTCGGATTTAACTACCTCTCTACGCCAAGTGCTCACAAAATTAAGTCATAGATGCAGCTTTGAGCTAAATCTTCTCTTAAATTAAGACATTTGTTAATAAAGATTACATTCATTTGTGATCGCCACATCATGTAAATCACAATTTACAAAGTTTGAGCTTTCTACAAAAAGAGTCGGAGACAGGTGGAGAAGATGAGGAGATGGAGGAGGAAGAAGAGGGGGGAGAGAACAGGGCTCCCCCCGCTGTTGGTGGGCAGCGTGGGGGTGGGGGCAGCGGTGGAGTTGGTGGTGTCTGAAGATAAGAAACCCACATTTACTTCCAGGAAGTTCTCGAAGCGGCTGAGTCTTGTATGTTTCTTCACTGCTGCTTTTGTTCTGGTCTTATTGGCTGTGCTTTCAGCTGAGAGCACCACCGCCTGGAACCAGGAGCCGTCCTGCTTACACATCATCGGACCGCCAGAGTCAGTCTGAACACACAGACACACAACATTTAGGAGGGATGGTGAAACAATATTACCTCTGTAAGCTGCTGATTGTCTTGCTGATAATCTTATATATAATTAAAAAAAACCTAACCCTAACTACTTCATTACCTCTTAATTAAAATCAAAACCAATCAACATACACTTTTATAAAAAGATACCACTCTCAATCATCGCTTTAGAAGCTATACATCAAAGGAAATAAAATACATGTTTGCATTTTTGTACTACACAATAAAAAACATTTGTATGTCATCCATTAACTCTTTTTATTTATTTAACTATTTATTTCTGCAAATGTGCAACTGTGCTATGCCAGTCGTGATATATAAAATGACTAACTAACTATTAAAAAAACGAACTATACGACACTGTAGGGTACACAAAGTAAATCACATAAAATAAAATAAAAATCTTTATGTATTTAATTATGTAGATATTAATCAAAAAACGATATATGAATATTCACATACTCCTTGATGTGTGCTTATAGAATAAAGGAAAATACCACCTAAGCCGACATGCGAGTATAGTTTTGATAGTCTGCATACTTGAATATAAGCAGTAGTTTTGTATGAACCCCCGTTATGATGTGCTGCACAAACAATACCTTCTTAAGGCTTGTAGAAATAGTGTTACATTTAAGTCTGTACCTATTTTAAAAAGGTTCAACTTGTGTTTCCAATGTAATTTTTTAAGTGTCCAATGTTAAAAGACCCTAAAACACATTGATAAAACAGAAAAAACATATGAAAGTGAAATAATCTCCTAAATTAAAATTTTGAGCAACACAGAAATATAGGCTAACTACATAAAGAAAGAAAAAGGAAATAACTTACTGGATCCAGTGTAAAAGTGCCGGTACATAAAATGTCACTCGACGACGCGTTCCCACAATTTTCCACAGAGGTCTTAAACTCCTGCAGGACTTGTTCTTCTGAAGAGTGGAAGAACAACAAAAAAGACGGGAAATGAAAAATCTAAATTGCTAAAACTTGGACTTGAGGTACTTTGTAAGTGCCTATATTAGTGTGCAAATTCCAAAAATGTTTAATCTCACCTCCTCCTTTCGCAGAGCTCCAACCAGCAACCCAGCAGGACGTTCCCACGGAAAAGGTCCGTCCATTGTCCATGCAGATGGGCTGGATGTAGTCGGACAGGGTGGGCTTGGTGTGCAGGTGCAGCATGGCTACATTAGACCCCGTCATCATGCTCAGAGTGATGTTTGACACGTTCATTTTCACCTCAAAGGGGTTGAACCCGTTCTGTTTCAGCCGACCCAACACAACGGTCCAATCAGACGCTGAGGGGGAACTGTGGGAGATAAAACATGAACTCAATATTGACCTGCAGAATGAGTCCTAAAACCCTGAAATTAGTCAAAACATTTTTGGTTAAATGCTTAAAATAAGCTTCAGAGATTTGTTTGTTTAATGACATAAAATACATCGGTAAATATGTTCTTTGTGAATTTCTAAAGCTTGTCCTAAAAGCGGGTAGCTCACTAGTGTCTAAATGTGAATACTTAATGTAACCCCCCTGAACATTAGCCATCTTTAGCCTAGCGATGACCTTAGTTTATCTTAGTGTAGCCATGTGACAGTCGTATGGTTCCTGCGTATAGCCTAACGTTAACTTTTTATTTTTGAAGAATTATAAAAGTGGTGTTAACATAAGGGATTATTCTATTGAGCTAAACATGCAACTATCATAATCGTTTGTTTGCCACATGGCATACTTTCTGCAATAACCCAAAGATCTAATTTCCATTGGATTTTTGCAGAGGAAACCGGGAATATGCTCACTTCAAGGTTCCCCTACAGAAATACGGTATCCCTGCAACACTCCATAAGGAATAGGAAAGAGACAACATCAACAGCAGGTTGGCCATCTTTTGAGGATACCTGCGACCGACTGCAATATGTATACTAACCTGTGCAGACAGTAAAGTAGCTCGAACCGGTTCAACTGGAACTATTTGTAACTTGGCATTGTTGTTGATTGTAACAACAATACGGTAGCAGCCAACTGCTGACTGTTTAATGCAAGTATCTAAAATAATTGCTGAACTACAGTAACCCTGAAACAGAAAATTTCATTTAAGACCTGAATTGTCGCGAAATATATATAAAAATATCCGTAGATTAATTATGCAGCATAAGTCAACATTTAGTTATCATTCAGTCATTCAGCATAGAAAGTGACAGCGGCTGCCTTTGCTATAAAAGCTTTCCTACAAAGATGGCTGTGCCGCCCCAGAGAGCACCGAATTCCCAGGACTGAGCAAGCCCCCAGGAAGAGCGCTGGCTGTTTAAGCACATTTTTGAAGTTGCCAAACGACGGTACTACACATACTTTCCAGTCAATTACATCATTTTGGCCCTAACATGCTTTTTCCCAATTGAATTACATTGTGAAAGAAACGTCTGTAAATCAGCGGATAATTATTTTTTAGCTTAAAAAAAACTACCCAGTCCGAACACTTTTCTATCCAATATTTAAATCATTAGAGTCTAAAAGCTGTACAAATGCAGAATCCAGAGTTTTTTCCCTCTCCATGACGGAACCAAGAGTGGGAGATTGGAGTCGGGGCTAAAGGAAAACTCAAGTGCTCATGCTCTATGGGCCCAGGTCGGGTACTTTTTGAATCTATAGTCTTTCCATTTCGGGCTTCATGTGCCACTTTCATAGGAACGAACGGGGCCCCGCCTCCGACGTTGTATCTAGTTCTCTTTAGACATCTGACTGAAGAGAACTCAAAACTTCCAAACCTCTGATTGGTTTAAAATAGGCGGTTTCCATAAAGTCCAATATAAAAACCATTGACACAGTGCGTTGTTGTAGGCTAGACTTACGTCTGTGGTTTTCGCACACTGTAGTTACAAAGCAGTGACAATGCAGCCTTTGAGAAGACCATCTTACGACTAAAGTTGGACATACTTTGGTCGTCATTTGTTGGAACCATTACTCCAGGTGTCTCACCTTGTGAAGCATTCAGCGTTGCTCAAGATGGCGTCCTCGGCCACCAGAGTCCCGCCACACACATGACTCCCGTTCTTCTGCAGACTCACCATCCAGGGCCACTCGCCGGCCGTCGCCACCGAGCTTCCTCCCACAATACGTGAATTCCTCGGGGCTTTGCCACAGAACACAGCTGGAGAAACAATCACAATCAGATTTCTGAACGTTAGTTTCTTGTTGCTCTCAAAGCACTTAACACAGCTATAGACATACAGATAAAAACAAAGACAAAAGGAAAAGGGTTAGTCAGTAGATAGCACAAAAAACAGCAAAGCACTGAACCTGAACCAAACCTAGTTTTATTAATAACTTTTGAAAAAATAATTTATTTTCCATCTACCAGATTTGATCTATTATAAATATTTGTATATATTGTGGGATGGGATTGATGAAATAGGGATCATAGTTTAACAAATAAAGAGCATTTAAACAATAACGACAATGTATCAGGTGTAGAGAAAATCTGCAAATACTCAAAATGAGATTTTTGAGTTTTTTTTTAGCCACAAAAAAACCTCAACTGGACTCTCTGAAGGCGGTGTCATAGAGGAGGAGGCTGTTCATGGTGTGGCTCATCTTGGAAAATGTTTTCCAACCACTCAATGACACACTGGTTAGCCACAAGAGCAGCTTCAGAGAACAACTCATTACACCAAGATGCTCCACAGAGCACCACAGGAAGTCATTCCTGCCTGTGGCCATCAAACAGGAAGTCCTTCCTGCCTGTGGCCATCAAACAGGAAGTCCTTCCTGCCTGTGGCCATCAAACAGGAAGTCCTTCCTGCCTGTGGCCATCAAACAGGAAGTCCTTCCTGCCTGTGGCCATCAAACAGGAAGTCCTTCCTGCCTGTGGCCATCAGACTCTTAACTCCTCCCTCACCAAGAGACTCACTTAACCATCAGCAGCCAAACCCTTTTACATTTGATTTGATCTTTTATTGGACATTTTAATTCATCTACTTATGTTTATTTAAGTATCTTTATTTAATTGTATGTTTTTGCAGCACAATCTTACTTTAACTTATGTCAATATAAATATTCGTATTCTATATTATTGTATTTGACCATTTATTGGACATTTAACTTGAATTACATATGTAAATATATAAATATCTTTATTTTCTTTCATTATGCATTGCACATTTTTCTATAACTTACTAATTTTTAAGCAATGTTTTTATATTCTACTTTATTCTCAAATGGAGCAAGTGTCCTGCAACCCAATTTCCTCAAGATATACATTTTTTTTAATTCAGATTCTGAAAATGTGGCCTGCAAAAGACGAGGTAAGGCATGAGCTAGCAGTCCATATTGGTATAAAGCAGTCAGTAAAACACTGTTTTAATCAGTTATAAAGACCAAAACCACTAGAGTTTCTTGTTCATACAGCCATAAAGACAAACAACATTAGGCTTTAAGGCTATGTTAGCATGAGAGGTTAGATGGGCAGATACACACGCTTGGTTGTTATAACAAAACTGAAGACAAACATTTGACATTTTGACATTTGACAACAGAGTGTACAAAAACACATAAAGCTAACTACCACGTTTAGACAATGACATTTTTAAACTATGAAGCAATGAAATGATTAATGAAACAGGAAGGAAGAACATGTATACAGCCTGGGGTTTAAAAAAAGTCAATAATACTACAGTATAAGAACAAATGTATCATCAGCCTGTACTTAAACTATCACAAATAAAAGTACTCATGAGAGTGACTCCATAAAAGGGATGTATTATTATAGATATAACACTATTCTGTTCTTTTCTTACTAACAAATACATTTAAGAGATGTTTGTTGTTGTAATTTGTCTTATCAAATAACTCATGTTAGTTATTTAACTATTAACAAAAACAATGTTAATACTCAAAGTACAAATACCTTAAATTGTACTTATGTACAGTACTTGAGTAAAACTGCTATAATATTGTGTTAGATGTAGAAAAACTATGGTTTTGGAATATAATGTCCTGAAGCTCTTACCAGTGGGTGGAGGTTGAGTTGTGGTTTTTCCAGAGTTTGACGGCTGTGGAGTGACCTTTGCTGTACAATCACAACGTACAGATGTAAAGATATTAAACTCAGGTGCTGAAGACACAGTACTACATTTTTGTTAAGTCAAGCTGGTTCAAACCCAAAACTTAATATTTGTAATTATACTGGAAAGTTTTCCAAATTCACCAAACATGTCAGAGTGGGTTTTCACAGAATGATACACAAAATCAATTCCTATTTTAGCATGTGTAAACAACATACATCTTCAATGTAAAGTGGTACAAGGTTATACTGAAAATGTAACAAAAGGGAAAATTCCAAAATGCACAATTAGCTGCTAATAGTTTAACATTTTTTCTCTATGTGGGAACATTTCTCCTAAATTCACCAAAAACAAGCATTACATACATAATACCTGATTTGCAAGTTTTATCACTTACAATTACATAAGAGTGTTTTATGTTGTAATTTGTCAATGTCAAAAAAGTTTGGATACTTTGAGTACTTCTGAGAAGATAAGTATTATACATATATATGTTAATACTCAAAGTACAAATACCTTAAATTGTACTTATGTACAGTACTTGAGGAAAACTGCTATAATCTTGTGTTAGATGTAGAAAAACTATGGTTTTGGAATATAATGTCCTGAAGCTCCTACCAGTGGGTGGAGGTTGAGTTGTGGTTGTTCCAGAGTTTGACGGCTGTGGAGTGACCTTTGCTGTACAATCACAACGTACAGATGTAAAGATATTAAACTCAGGTGCTGAAGACACAGTATTACACAGAACTTAATATTTGAAAGTTTCCAAATACAGCAAACATTTCAGGGTGAACTTTCGTGGGGAGTGATACACAAAATAGTTCTTCAATTTTCAAAGTATTAATTATATAGCTACAATGTAAAGTGGAACAAGCTTAAACAGAATTTATAAAAAGAGGAAACATCCCAAATACACATTTAGTTTTTCTCTATTTGTGTACATTTCAAAAGCGAGCAGTACATAATACATCATTTGAAAATGTAACACTAATATTTCAGAAAACTTGTAATACAACAAATATTTGCCTTAATGCAAGTGATCTATTAGGGAAGTTTTGTGGTGATATCTATCAGTAAAATGTTTACCCTTTCACCTGTAGTGTGTAGAACATGTAAGAGTTTTACAATATATATCTCTAAAAGCCATTTTCTAAAAATGTGTATTATCTCATTCAAGAGATCGAGTAGCACTTGCATACAATCAAATGTACAGTTGTATTCCTATTTAAAGGGGACCTATCATGCAAAATGCACTTTTGTACGTCTTTTATACATGAATATGTGTCCCCGGTGTTCCAGGGAACTCACCAAGTGTCAGAAAACACAACCCTCTCTATTTTCCTCCATACCCAAATCTCTAAAAAAGGGGCTGCAACGGATCTGATAAAAACTGATCCAGATTTGAACACTTTACTGACGTCACAGAAGTGGCGCTACGGCTATTGGGCCAACTCTCCACCTATCAGGGGAATGTGGGGTTGGGCCGCGGCCGGCCATTGCCGCTCGAAAGCGCTGGAGCCGCTGTAGTACATATGCCAGGCCTGTAAGTGGCGCTGTAGTCTGCCACAAAAGCAGCGAAGAAGACTTCCCGCCCATAGTTACCATGGTTACCCTTCTGTTTATTCTCCGCTGTGGCTTTTTTTCTCCCTCCCCGAGGCAAGCGTTTGCTCCCGCTGCTTTAATTCAATGCAATCCCTCCCCGTCGAGGCAAGCACTGTAATTCTCTCCGGTTAGTCGACCAGCAGATGACAAACACCCACCTCTCCGCCTCTTCCAAGGAACGAGGGGACCGTGCGGCAGAGTTTCAGTTTCAGTTTCTTTCGCCGGTCAAGATGTCCGTTAAAGTTTAAATCTTCCGGACAAAATTAGAAAAGTGCCGGTCAAAGGTCTTCTTTGTTATTTATTGAGCTTTAAAACAAATGAATAACGACTCTATAGGCCTATAACAATATAATAAAACACGGAGGACGGAGATCTTTTTTTCTCCCCCTCTTGACTTGATCAGAGCACGGCTCCCCTCTCCTGCAGGGGGGCGTGGTCAGCTGCAGCTCACAAAATCAGCCCTGTAGACAGCAAACAGCACATAGAGTGAAATGAGGCATGGCTAAAATGCATGATCTGTTTGGTATTTTGAAAACAGAAACGTATAAATATACCTTATATAGGTATGGCCCTACAATATATCATTTAAATATAGCATGATAGGTCCACTTTAAATTCTGAAGGTCTGATGTAAAGTATGTTTTTTTCAAATTAATGGAGTGAAAAAGACATTTCCAAAATCTACTCTGTAAAAACCTTTGACTCTAATCTTTCAACAAAATGAAACAACCATATTAAATGTGGCTTTTCCACATTTCTGTTGCAAATGACTGACAGGTGACAGGTACTCACGTGGGGGTGTAGGGGCGGAGGTTGGAAGGGGGGGCAGGCCGCGACAGGACACGCTGAGGTCGCTGTCAGTCCCTGTGGACGTGAAGGTGACGAAGCCCGGCTGGTTGCTGGTGATTAGGCTGTTGATCCAGGCCTGATACCGGGAAACTCTGGAGTAGACTCCTGGGAAATTAGGTGCGGCGCAACCGTTCCCAAAACTCACGACTCCGTCCTGGATCCAGCGGCCGCCCTGCTTGCTCACCAGCGGACCGCCTGAGTCCCCCTTTAATGAGAGGCACATTTAGAAAAGGGTCTTTGCGGAAGGTAAAATATGAAAGTCTTCAGGTTCTTGAATGCAGTAAAAATATTAATTCCAGACTCTGAAAATAGTCCACTACAACGTTTCTTTGAGTATGCAATCAGCTCAATCTAGCCTAGTAGGCCTACCTACTTAAAGGTGGGGTAGGTAAATTTGAGAAACCGGCTCGAGATACACTTTTTGTTATATTCCATGGAATGCTCTTAACATCCCGATAGCAATGAATATCTTAAGTGCTTTGACAAAAAATCCATAAAAAATGTCATCTGTGGAAGCCGTGGTACTGTAAAAAGCACGACCAATTATTTTAGCCGGCTCTATAAGGAAGTGGCAGATTTTCTCCGGTTGTGTATTTTCAAATTCTTGCGATCTCGAGCCGGTTTCTCAAACTTACCTCCCCCACCTTTAAAGGGTATTGATCCTGCATTCAAATGTTTCCGTTTTGTTTTTGTTCTACAACATAAACTACGTCAGTAAAATACTCCATTTGTGAATTTCTGAGCACAGTTGCAGAAATTAAAGGACGCTACTAAACGTCATCGAACATTAACCACCTTTAGCTTAGCGGTGGAAAGGTGAAGTCATGTGACTGTGCTGTTGTTCCTTCACAGCTAATGTTAGCTGTTCGATTGCATTAATGCTTCAAAAACCATAAAGTGGTGTGAATATGTAGAGCTTGAACCAAAACTAGTATCATGAATGTGTTTTGTGGAGGGAAACAGTAAGATGCTGAGTTCAAGGTCAGACCACAAAAATACGTCATCCAGATACCAGTCTATTAGGGTACACCTGCACCATTTTAAGATAGATACTGTGTAACAGAAAGGATTGGAGAAGGTTGGGTCAAAGATGCTCACCTGACAGGAGTCCTTCCCTCCGGCCCGGAGCCCGGCGCAGATCATGTTGTCTGTGATTCTATTCACTCCATAGTCACATTTGCACTGCCTGTTCCCCACGATGGGCACCTCCACCTCCATGAGGCTTTTTGGGGATGGAAGACGAGCTGAAGAGACACAAATACACACTTCTTTAAGAGCACATGATTTTTACTGCATTTTAAAAAGATTACAATGAATTACAACTACTGCAATTATGAAGTATTACAGTGCTTGAACGTATCATCAAACTTTTTTTTTGTTTCTAATAATGTTAAAACGACCTTATACATAACACAATGACATTTGACAAAATGTAATGTTTGTTAAATGTGTGGTTCGTAAAATATATTTTGAGGATTTTTTGTTTTATGTTTTTGTGAAATATGTTTGAGTTTTCGGATTTGATTTTGACGTTTGTGAAAAGTTTTTGTAATTAGTGCAATTTTTCAGTGTGTTCTGAAATGTCTTTTTTTTGGGACACCCTTATGAGTGCTCAGTTAAGTGCTCAAAGGAAATCTAAATGTTTGTTGCATTTAAACAGCAGAGTTGTGACCTTAATAATAAAATAAATGTTGCCTTCTGAACCCACTTTGAGATGCGACGTCCCCCCAGCCGGTGACCCAGGAGTCGGTGCCGCTGAAGAAGGTGCTGTCCGAGGCTGCCAGGCACACGGGAGCGATGTAGTTGGTGAAGGGGACCGGAGAGGAGAGCTTCAGGAGGCAGATGTCGTTGTCGATCGTCCCAGAGTTGTAGTTAGGGTGATTGATGATCCGTGTAACCGTCCTCGACACCTCGTTAGGGTTGACACCTTCTAGATTTTGGCGACCCAGATACACAATCAGGTTGGCTGTGCCGGGACTGGAGAGTTAAAAAATTAAAATATTAGTAAACTTATATCATAGTAAACTGATGATAACTCACTTAGTGACATAAATTAAAACAATTATAAATTGATTGATTCATGAAAATTCAAATGATCAGAATCAGGTAAAGTCATTTTTCACATACTGTAAAGGGCATTTGCTTTGGGGTTTACCGTATCTTAAAATAAATTGTAAAATAAGACTTTAAAAAAAATGTACTTATAAACTATTATAAAGTAAAATAAATGTAACCAATTATAACGCAAACCAGATATAAGACTAAATGTACCATCATTAAAGAAACTATAACAATATCCAGTGGCGTTTTTATATGTACAAAAGTGGTGGGGCACAAAAAACTTAGATGTCTATATATAAGCTTCTGCAGTGACGTGCAGTGAGGTTCATGGCTGGTGAGGCACTGGCACTGACTCTTCAGGTTTACAAATATTATATTTTGACCTAAACCAAAATATAATATTATTTTCAAAAGCTTTTTTTGTCTGATGCTTCGATTAATTTTAAACAGACAGTTCAACAAAAGGATACCCAAAAAATGTAATTTTATCATTTAAATATTGAATTGTTCTCTCTTAGTAAGATCCCATTTTCAATAAAATGGCGGTCTTACCTTGACTTGAAGATGAAGTCCATTTGCCTATCCTTCTGGACAAACATTTCTATTACTTTTTTGTAAAAGTCCTCCTTATCTTCTTGTAGTTTCAAAAGTCTATCATAAATCTAATCCATAGATTTATGATAAAAAAATTATAAAAGTAGGGTAGACATGTGGATGTTATCCGGCTAATCAAAACGTGCATTTATCTAACAGGTACGTTTCCCACAGATCTTATTTCGAGCTATTTTCTAAAATCCTCTGGAGAAATCTCATTGCTTTTTTGTGCTTACTTCCTGGTTTTAGGACGCGCCACTGCAGCTCTCTCGTCTCCTCTTCAAGCACCACACTTTTCGCGGCACACGTACTTACAGCCAATCAGCTCTGAATGATTTGAGATGACGTATGGTGGGGATGGTAGCTCCATCCCCCAATCACTTTTGACCAATCACATCAGAGCCAGCCAGCTAACCAATCAGAGCAGACTGGGCTCTGGTTTCAGACAGAGGGTGAAAAGAGGTGCTGCAGCACAGGCAGTATGAGAACAATAAAGAGCTTTCTGAACTTTAAAGCATGGAGACATGTCACAGTAGAGGAACAAAATACAAATCTGAACCTGAAAATGAGAATAATATTTCCTCATGAATTAAGTCACATAAATACATTTCATTATAGGATATAGGACACACCTTTGGAAGCAGTGAGCCGCAGTCAGCACCCATTCACTGTTAATGAGGGACCCTCCACAGAACTGATTCCCAAATCGATGCAGGCTGGCCTGCCAGGGCCAGCTGCCCTCAGGGGCCACCTGTCCTCCAACGATCCTGGTGTTGAGCGCGGGCTTACCGCACACTGACAGAGACACACAACACAACACAGTGAGCCCCTCTGCTCTCCCGGGTTTTATATCGAGTTGTCATATTGATTGATTCTGATTGACTGCAAAGTTAATTTGTAATTTTGAGGTTTGTATGTGCATCTGATTGCCAGAAGTCTATAGGCTGTTTATGACATGTAAATGATATGATGACGAAGCAACTTTTTAGAGTTTTTGTGGACGACATTTTGTTTGGAATAGATAATAGCATTTTAATAAACTATGTGTCTGGAGGCTGGCCCCTGATGGGATTCTCATTTCATTCTCATGTGTGGCGCTGAGTGTAATTGAGTTCAGCACACACTGGTCTTTAGCAGGGGGTCTACCTTTTTTAAGTTGTTGTGTTTTATAAGAAAATGAATTGTAACATGAATGAACAAAATAGCAAAGATGTATCAAGCAAATTGTAAAGGATAAATGGGTAAAGTCCATAAAACTTTGACTTACCATTTAGTTGTGAATGAGACTCTGAAAAATAGAAAAACAAACATATTGATGAAACAGTTATGAATGAACATACTTATGTTTCTATAATGATATTTACTTAATGTTTTATTTCAAGTTTGCCTAACTCACTAAAGAACGGTCTACTTTTCTTTAATCTTCTCTTCTGTTCTGGGATAATTTAATAATATTAATTTGATTATTATTAAATTCTATATCCATGTCATTTATTACCATACACACACAGGCACTGTATCCTACATTTCCCTTAAGGCAACTCTTTTATAAAAATCGTTCACCAATTTAAGATATGTTTTAAAAACCTGGTAATTATGTTTTTACATGTTTTTTATTTATCTCTCATTTCTTGTTAGGTTTTGGCATCACTTTTATTTGATTAGTTCTTTTTAATTTTAAATATATATATGCACACACCCACATACGTATGCCATTATGTTATATAAATGAATACATAATTGTATTAATAAATAACATTAAATTAAGTGAATTGGGTGGGAAATAAAAGAGAGGAGCCCCACCCGGTATTCATCCTGGTGTTATATAATGAACACCTGCAGGTTTGTTTGTTTGAACACTGGAAACAATGACATGCTTCACTGGAAACATAGAGCCATCTGTACTGCCATTACATCTGTTTAGAAAAAGATCTAGTACAGCAATATCAAAAATACCTACAAAGTAATAATAGCCCTGACAGACACTGCTGTGACACACCACCAAGTACCTAATATGAATATTAATTTATTTTGTTTACATTCAACATTTTCTATTATTATTGTGAACTATTATTATTAATATATAAGTATTTATGAATATAAAAGTACATATTTCCCTCTCTTTAAAAAAGGGACAATAGTAAAATGTTCCTTTAAAGTAATTTAAAAAAAAAAATATTTAATGTGTTAAAGTTCACTGGCAAAAGTTGTTTTGGCAACTGTTTTACAGATTGACTGTTATTTAAACTAAATAAATCCCACTTTTGTACTTTTAGTGCATGATCAACGGCAAGGCAATGTATCACAAAAAAATATATTCATACAACTTTTTTGCAATAAAAGACGCATTCTATGTGTTTCTGAACTATTATTTCGAACGATAACTTCACTTTTGGTACCTCAAGCGTATTTTGATGATAATATCTATGTACTTAAAGGTGGGGTAGGTAAGTTTGAGAAACCGGCTTGAGTGCGCTAGATTTTGAAAATACACAGCCGGAAAAAATCTGCCACTTCCTTATAGAGCCCCTCCTCCAACACACACGAACGCGCACATGACCAATGAGGGCACGAGATAAGTTTGTGCACAGATGGAAGGCTGACAGGCAGGTAGGCCATCCAGTTATTTTAGCCGGGCCGGCTAAAATGATTGGTCGTGCTTTTTACAGTACTACGGCTTCCACAGATGACATTTTTGTATGGATTTTTTGTCAAAGCACTTAAGATATTCATTGCTATCGGGATGTTAAGAGCATTCCATGGAATATAACAAAAAGTGTATTTCAAGCCGGTTTCTCAAACCTACCTACCCCACCTTTAAGATTCTGTAAGCAGTACTTTAATATTTTTTAACCACTGAATTTCCTGTCTTTAAATAATTACATTGACACTAATTCCTCTTTAATATAAGCCAAATGTTTCTGGTTTCATGATAAATAAAGTCTTTAAAATGTAAATACAAGAGGATTGATGTACCCGGAAATAACTTCAAACTAATGAAAATCAATCAATATGAGTTTGATTATAACTACATCTTAAAAATGGCAATTCTATTACACTAAATATATAATTAAGTAATAAAATACAATGGACATTTAAAGCAGAACTAAAAGTTGGTTTCTATGACTAATAAATCACTTAAAGCCTGGCAGCTGCTTCACTCTCAGAGGATCTTATAAAAGAATGGGACATGTAGAAGAAGGCTTGATAAAGGACACTGACAGTGATTGACTGGACACATATTGTACTCCTCTCACGTTATCACCTATAATTATCAGGAATTGCCCAGCAGACAAAAGCTGCAAAGGTTCAAATGAGTCATGTTTTGACATCTCTCGCATTTTAATGGAAGATATAATACTTTTATTCAACTTAACAACAACAACAACAACAACTAAGTTACTGCAAACTTCCAAGAATGATTTATTTTATTATGTTCAATAAATACAGTTGGTTGTTTTTCCCCTTCAGAAATAATTTTTCTAAATCATTTATTTTAATGCAAATGAAAGAAAATGTAAGAAAGAAAACATTTTCTCTACTATATCATATTCATACATTTTATTAATGCATATTATAGTTCAATTACATGAACTCTGCTCTGCATTTTGATCCTTTTAAGTGCAATATTTTCAGTTAAGGCAATGTAATAAAAAATTGAATGCAGGATTTCCACTCAGAGCAAACATCATTTAGAGATGAAATCATCATAAGAAATACACACATTACGTTTTGACAGTAGTACTTTTCCCTCTATGGAGCAACAACTACTCCTACTCTTTTTTTAAAAGTAATTCCCCCTGTCCCTCAGACAGCAGTGAGGTACGTCAGTGTGTGGTGCAGCTGAGGACCCTTACCTTGAGTCAGGAGGGAGAGCAGAGCCGCGGCACAGATCAACCTGTAGAGAGCCATGACTGTGGGTCGATTCTGCAGGTCTGCTGCGGCATAAATAACTTCATCTGCCTCTCCACCTCCCTCCTACAGTGTCACCTGTTCAAAGACACGCCCAACACCTCAATCAACATTTCTCTGAGCTGCAGGGAGAGCATTTCCATTTATGCTGATATGACCTGCTTTATTCCACTTCACTGTTCTGCATCTCAAGGGGAATTCCACACCTGTAAGGCAGTGATAGACTTAAGAGGTTGTTTCAACTGCACTATTTCTTAACGCTAAAGGTCTCCTATCATGCAAAATGCCCTTTCTGATGTATTTTATACATAAATATGTGTCCCCGGTGTGTCAGGGAACTCACAAAGTGTCAGAAAACAAAACCCTCTCTCTTTTCCTCCGTACCCAAATCTCTAACGGAGCTGATCCAGATTTGCGTCCGATATGACGTAATATCGGAAATGTGGACCCACAGCCCTATCAGAAACGTTGCTATCAGTAACAATGTGCAACGTTTTGGAAGTAATATGTTCTGTGTTTACATTAGCAAGCATCGCTGACACTCAGAGCTAATACTGTAGTGGAAAAAAGCAGAAAATAAAAAAAGGAACTCACCTTGTGGTAAACCCGCAAGAGAAAAAGCATTTGCATACTGTTTCAGAAATAATGCTTGAAGTGGTTTTGAACGTGATATGTCGTTTAATCACGGTAGCATTTAGTTGAGTATCTGGGTAGAATTCTGAGCAGGCATATGCTCCCCCCCTCTTTTTTTCTTTTTAAACTACTGGCCCAGAATCAGCTAACAGGGCTGAAATAGAGGGGTATGAGGCATGCTACAATGGGTGATCTGTTTGGTATTTTGAGAAAAACACTTCATAGACATGTTTTTTATATATTTGCATATATCTAAGACCTATGCTATTGCCTAACAATATTATAATAGGAGACCTTTAATGTCTTTCATTTTTGTAAAGCACTTTGAATGTCCTTGTGTTGAAAGGTGCTGTATAAAAACTTGTTATATAAACCTGATTGACTCCCTCCAGGTGCAGCCCCTCCCTCAGGGGTTCCCCATCAGTAATCAGGACCTGTACAAAAGGCTGAGGAAGCTGCAGCACCCTCTCCTCTCCCCTGGGTTCAAGGTTCAAGGTTCTTTATTTAGTCATACGAACATAGCTACAGTGTAGTTATGTCGATGAAAATCTTAGGTCACAGGCTTCTCCAACAGTGCAACACAAAACACAGATAAACAGAAGAATATAGTGCAAGTAAATAGTAAATACAAAAATTAATTAAAATAGTTTGAATGTCCTTGTGTTGAAAGGTGCAACTCCACCAATCAGGAGGAGACCTCCACGGCCATTGCCGTTCGAAAGCGCTGGAGACGCTGTAGTACATATGCCAGGCCAGTAGATGGTGCTGTTCTCACTGAATCTGCCCCTGCACAAACAGAGCTAGAAATGGTCAAATTGAGCAAAATGAGGCATGGCTAAAATGCATGATCTGTTTGGTATTTGAAAGGTATGGTCCTACACTATATTATTCAAATATAGCATGATAGGTCCACTTTAAAGTATTTCGTGAGGCCTTCTAAAATGTTTTTAAATATAATTAGGGTTGTAGTTGAAGAGTTTGTAAATTGCGTTGCCTGGCAACGCAATCACACAACGTCACGTCCGGCGAAATCGAGTGTGACGATTAAAAAATAAATTAAAAACATCTAATTTTGACAATAAAAACCGACCAATAGGCGCGGTAGACCATTTGCTTGGCACTTCCGGGTATTTCTCCACTGGTTGGGCCATGTTAACAATACCGTGTAACTGTCACGTTTGAAGGGACGAAACCGTGACATATTCACGTCTCCCAGCATGGTAGATCGTCACATGTTCACGTCTTGCCGTGATACCGGGTTGGATATTTTAGAGGAAATGTTATTCCATGAACACTGAGTTTCTGGGAAGGCAAGCTGGTGCTGCCAGTTAAACCTTCAGGCCTGTTGAGTTCCACCAGGAAGTCGGCTGCACACTTAAATACAGGTTTAGTCTGCAGATACATGTGCAGTTACGCATAGGCGCAGTCATATTGGCAACACTCCAAACAGCACCGGGAAATTCCTGTAAACCAGGTGAACCGGTGGGACAATTGTTATGGTAAATGATCCAGGTAAAAATGTGGCTCAGACAATAGATTACAAAAAAAATAAATAATAATAACTGCTGCACCCATGGACATTGGGTATAAATATATTTTACAGGCCTAAACTAGTGAGAGAATCGCTGGCAACTACAACAAAATGAACATATTTGACCGTGATTTAATTGTAATACACGTTTCAAAATGATGCCGAAGTAACAACATACTGATACCAGTTAGTAAAAACCATGAATTAGTGCTTTGACAAGTCTGCAGACAAGACGGCAGGCGAAAAACCTTTTAAAATGCTTGTTTTCTGAATGGAGATCGGCTAAGCTAACGTTGTATATGCTCCGACAGTCCACACTCACAACTTCACAACAACGGCCTATACAGACATAAATAAACCAGCGACTGTATTCGCCATGACACAGAGAGTCTGTGGTTTGTACTTGTTTAACTTTTGTCTAGTTTCTGAACAGATATGAGGAGCTGTGAGCTCTTGAGTGCTAACAGCTAACGGCTGATGTTGATTTTGTGTTTCGCATTTAAAGGAGAGGTGTCATAGCCATTTCCACTGATCATAATTCCATTGTTGAGGTATACTAAAATAGATTTATACTGTGCATTTTTCCAAACTCGCATTGGTGTCGCATACAGCATCTCTGTAAACTACGTGTATTCACTGAATTTCACTCTCTGCCTTTAACGGCTCGTTGTAGCTCCAAAAGCTCCAGCCCCCACCCTTCCTGTGAGCACAGTGTGCTCTGATTGGTCGGGACGTTGTGAATCGCGCTGAGCTCCGTGGAGGTGTTGTTTCCTTGTTTAGGATACATAGCGAAACACAGCCAAACTCATCCTGAGCACACACAAACTCACAGCCGAAGTAAAAACAATAAGTGTGGCTTGATATTGAGTAAGAAAAAGGTTGATAAACGCTGTGAGAATGGGTCTGCAGAGAGAATTTCGCCGCCATCCCAACTGTCTGTTATCAGCCTGCAGCCAGGGAGGAGAAATCAGCATAGCTACCTGTGTGTGAGGAAGTCCGTGGATTGGTCAATTTGGACCAATCAGCGGGGGCTTAACGTAACGGCTCCGCGGACGTAACATAACGGCTCCACGGATTGGTCCATTTCGTTCCGGGTACGGGTTGACATCATGCCGTACACGGAAGAATCAAATGGACTAAGGCGTATTTCCAACGAGGCGTTTTGGGGAGGTATTTTCTGTGTTAGAGTTTTACTCGCTACAGGGTGTACTTTGAGGGTTTTGACTCTGCAGACCGTTTACATGCATACAAACCTTCATAACACACAAGGGGACGGGTAATAACCGGAAAAGCATGACACCTCTCCTTTAAGATGACGTCACGGCTCCGCCTACACTGCGTTACTATAGTTACCCAGTTCCTAAACTGTAATGGAAACGCAGCATAAAGTGAGCCTGGCCTACCAAGGCCTAACTATACCGTACTAAGCCGTGCGAGGCCCTGCAGTGGAAATGCGCTATTAGTGAGCTAAAATTGTAGCTCAAGAGAAGCTGCACTATTGTATATATACAGTACCTCTCAGAGCATCAGTTAAGCACACTGTATCCATTGTACAACAACAATTTTTATATTAATGCCTGAGGCACTTATTCTTCCCGTAACCGCCTGCTCTCAAACTGGATTTACAGGAGAGTGATTCTGGATATTTATAGTGATGTGACAGCTCAGTGATCAGTGATTTTGTCCTGCATCCATGTTCACTGACTGTGGGGAGTCCTGGAGTTCGAGCAACATGCAAAGTCTACGTAGAGCCACAGGTTTGATTGTTGTTCCATAAAGTCAACAAAATAAACACCTGCAGCTGCTGTTGACAGCCAATACAAAAATAAAATATGAAATCTACTGTTTTGGCATAACATTTGACAGGTGTTGGCAAAGCACAAAAGCAAAAAGGTAAAATGATGGCCTGCAGGCTGAAGACTCAATACAGTATTACTGATCCCTTTTGCCAATTTTAGACAAAGGTTAAAATGAGCTTTTTCTCAAAAACTGTTCTCGCTACAATGTATAACAATTGTTGTTTCCCAGGACACATTTGTTGGCAGCTTCAATGTTTCAAATGAGCTATTATGCAAATGTTCAGGTTCATATTAGTATTTAGTGTCTCTCCTGGGACATGTCTCCATGCTTTAATGTTCAAAAAGGTCGTTATTTTTCTCATACTGCCTGTGCTGCAGCACCTCTTTTCACCCTCTGTCTGAAACCAGAGTGTGGGAAAGGCCTTTTTTTTTTGCAGACCATTTACATGCACACAAACCAATATAAACACTACAGGAAAGGAGAAACCCCAAAAAGCATAATAGGGCCTACAGAACTACAGAATAACACCGGACGTGAAATAACACCCAGTATGTCTGAGGCATCGTTAATTCCAGTAAAACCCCCAATAAAACCTCTTTCGTCCTTTTTCAAGTGATATTGGTGCCATTTTGAAGGATAGCAGTATTATTAGGTATAAAACATTTTTTAATTTCTCGTAAGTATGACGTAAATGTACAAGAAACATACTTGGGTATTATAAAGTCATAAATTGTGAGTAAAATTAAATTAAGCAACATTGTTTCTTGACAACAAAATAACAAAACAGTTTTCTCATCAAATGTAAAACTTTAATGTCAGAGGTTATTCAAATGTCTTTCTCTGTAAATGTTTTCCTATTAAATTCGCCACTTTCTTCCCGGAATACCACCCCTGTACCTAGGTCTGTAATTATAAATAGCATTTATTTGTTTACCGACAATAGCCCAAGTAAGGATACAAATAATAATTGAGAACATACTTTAAGTGGAGAATAAAATATGACAGAGAACTTTAGGCCACAGCTTGAAGATGGTTTAGATCTGACCAACCCTGTCTCCTAAAAA